AATAGGTTAAAGAAGCGCTCCTCTTAATTGAGAAGAATTTTTGGGTTATTTTTCTAACTTTTCTTTTTAGCAAAACGTGCTGTAAATATTGATCAACTAATTTTAAACACGTTTATATATGTATATATATATATATATATATATATATATATATATATATATATATATATATATATATATATATATATATATATATATAATTCCCCCCCCCACACATTTTTTTTGCATTTTAAAGTACGGTAATACAAATGGAAATAAACAAGTGACTAGAACTGTTACAACATTCTTTTCATGTCAGACGAATGTTCCAACACATGGTTCTCAATAAATACACTGTAACTCTACATGCATAATGGAAAGTACTCCTGAGTCATTTTTGGTACTGATGGGAACGCCATCAATTACCACCACCCAGCTGCTGTTTAACAACCCAGGTGACAAAGTAATACTTTGTTATTTCCTTTGCAATGTTGAAACAGAGGAAAAGCCTCTTCATGTGGAAATGTAATGGTCCTAAATGGCGGTGCACCCTGATCCAAAAGTGTTATGACAACATCATCTGTGTGTTTGATAAAGATGTTTACGACTCTGCAAGGTGGCAACTGGACAAGATAATGTGTGATGTGCAGGAAATGTTGGACAGGAGCCTAAATGTGTTTGCTCATTTTATGGACTTCGTGACAAGGTTACCCAGCCTGGATAATGTGGATTGTAGCAGATTAGCTAAAAAATAGGGGTGGAAACAAAACATTTATTCAACCTGTTACACATTCAATAAGTCATACAAGGTATTAGATCTTAAGGATGTTTTATATAATGTCAAAAAATTTTCTAAATGTAATATCGATTGCAATTTTTTTTAATTTTCTAGCTAAAAAGATCAGTGATCAGAGATAGAGTTAGCTTAGGAAACTCTCCAACTCATTGTGATGGATGCTGACTATAGGGAATATCTCCCATATGGAAAAGATTAATTAATCATCACAAATCAGTGCTAAGAGATGTTATTCAAATTGGGGCAAATACAAAAATTGTTTCCTTCTTGATAATCCTTTCCAATCGTGGAGGTTTGGATTTTAAAATGTAGAGTGCAATTATTTACAAATGTTGCTGTCCACTTTCATGAAAGGAACAAATAAATAAGTAAACAAATAAATAAATGAAACTTATATGATTCTGGAACTTTCACATTTAGAAAAATGTAATATCACACTTATACGACGAGACATACTATTATTATTATTATTATTTGTAGACATAGTAAAAAAAATAAATGGAAAACATGGTGATATATTATCTACACATATACCGCTTATATAGCTGACTCTTGTATAATCCACAATATACTGTAACATGCAAAACTGGCCAATTTCAAGAGTAAATCATGTTGGTCTTATATGATATGCAGTATGTTAAACATGCACTGCAAGTACCTGAGTGAATGACAGAAATATTTTATATGTTCTTGCTATTTATTTTTCGTATCAGATAAGTCTTTCAGAGAGTTGTCAGCTACCACTTTATACATTTCGTATTGATTAATACTGTATATACTTCAGTGATAATATCAAGGTGCTGCTGTATTCTATCTGTCGTTCTATATCAGTAGGGTTGTGCTGTAATTTTCCATAATGTAATGATAAAACTTGAACATTCATATAATTTGGATTCATTGCTCACTGATTGAAATATTTCAGGTCTTTTATAGTCTTAATAAGGTTGATTTTGGCATACAGCTCATGAAAAACCAAAATTCCAATCCCAGAAAATTAGCAAATCATTAAAGAGGTCTCTAAAGGAGCTATGCACCACATTATCTGAATCAAGAAATTTACTCTAAACGCCTGCAAAAGATTCCTGAGGCTTTTAAAACTCCCAGCCTGGTTCATCACTCAAAACACCAATCATGGGTAAGTTTTATATTTTATCACAATATACTAATATTTTGAGAAGGACCTGTAGTTTGAATTGAAGGGTTTATATTTGGTTTCAGTTCCTTAATATTTAACAGAAAAGCTTTTCTGTTAAACTTTTATAAACTGATTTTTTTGATATGTATATATATTTTTTGTTAGATTTCTGTGATGTTTTTCCTTTAGTGTTCAGTTTTGCTTTACTTCTTGTTTGTAGTGTTAGTGGTTTTATTTTTTATTTTTGCTGTGTTCTCTGGTTAATTCTTAGTTACTGTCTCAATCTTGGTTCTGTTATGTTTTCTTTGAGTGTTTTACTTTGCTCCATGTTTTATAGTCTTAGTGGTTTAATTATTATTTTGTTGTGTTTTCTAGTTATTTCCAGTCTTCCAGGTTTTTCATTTGTTGCCCTCTGCTGCCATCTTGTGTTCTCCCTTCTCCCTAGCTCCTGTTTTGTTTCTGCTCTGTGCTCACCTGTTCCCAATCTGCTCATTAGCCCTCTCTTTGTCTCCTTTAAAAGCCCTCTCTCTTCAGATCCTCTTTGCTGGGTTCTCGTCTTACTTCGTCAATCTTCCTCCAACACGTCTCTCTGAGCCTTTCTCCTGGATACTTTAATTCCCCTGATGACTCTATGGTCTCTGGTTCGTTTTTACTTATTTTTCATGCTTTGAATTTTGGACTCTTGGTTTCTGATTTTTTTTTTTTGGGGGGGGGGCTTTGTTTTCATTTTTGGATTCTTGGTTGCCTGTTTGTTTGGACTTTGTTTCTTCAGTAACTCTTCATTAAATCAACTATAAATTCACCTCTGCTTGCCTGCCTCTGCTTTTGGGTCCTCAATCCACAAACCAATCATGATATTTTTTTTACAAATGAAAATGCCTGAATACTCAGTTTTATTTTTCAAAAAGGTGATGATCTTCAACAGGTAAAGACTTCATGATAAGATTACATTGCCATTAGTGTCTGTTGGCCAAATGCATAAATGTCGTCTCTAAACCAAAATCCTGAGCTGAGCTTCACCCCCAGAAAGCCTCTCTCCATATCTTAGCTGTTAAATGTTCACTTGGTTTCTTCCTTAGAACCTTCTATTTTTTTCTCTACATAAATTGATTTATTAGGTTTTAGTAGGTAGAGCTTTGTTTGTTCTGTGTGGTCATCAAAATATGTATATGTATATATACGTTTATCACCTTTCAAAATAAAAAAAAAAATTATTTCTATAAATTTTTATACTTTTTTTTTTCTCTCAAAGTGAATACTGTTATTTTGCCCTGCTCTGGATATTCTGTGGATGCATTTTTTTTTTTTTTATCATAGTCTTGATGATGATGTTGCTGCAATAACCTTTAAGTTGGAGTCATCCGGTCAAGTGGACCTGATGTTATGGACAAACTAGGCTTTCTAAATAACATCTCTGATTAGTTAACACTAACATGAAGCAACCCTACACAAGTATTTGTTAATGTTAATTAAATTCAGTTTTCAATTCAGTTTATATATAATGGCAATTAACAACACATGCCATCTCAAGGCATTTTACAGAGACAGTTCAACCAGATCATACAGTCAAATTGATTCAAAGTTTTCTATCTAAAGAAAACCAGTTGATTGCATCAACTCATTGACTCAAGGGAAATCCCTCACATGAAGCATGCTTGTAGCGACAGTGGAGAGGAAAAACTCCCTTTTAACAGGACGAAACCTCCTGCAGAAGCAGACACAGTGTGCTGACTAGTGAAGCTAACTAGGGTTCAAGGAAACAGCAGCAGAGATACAAAAGGCAACTGTCAATCAGCTCCAACATTTATAAACAAAGGTGTTGATGGCAGCAGCACAGCTGATATTTCTCTAAAGCAACATCATTAAAAAGGTTAGATCCCTCTTGTTCACTTGTTTACTTGTTCACGGCTGTGATCCATAAACATAAATCTGACAGATCTAAAAATTTTATGCTAAGCCTTATAGGGCTGTAACTAGATTAGAGTGGAAATAAACATGCAAATTGTGTTTTTAATTAGATTTTTTTAGCACCTTGCCCTGTTTCAAAACATATGCGACTTTTGTAAGACTTCATATTCTGAAGCACCTTTGTGTAATGTCAGTAGCCCGCTATAACATCAAGAAGCAATTTGATTTGAGTATCTGATTGGGTAAGGACGATTTTTTTCAACATGTGGGACAATGGTTTACCAGCAGACTTTTATCATCTAAATCCCCCTTGCTTTTATAGCCGACAATATTTATCTGCTTGGCTTTTATGGGCCTCTGGTGACCTTTGCCCCTTTCACCGTAAAAGGTTTCCTCGGCTTCTTCTTAGTAATAACCTGTAGGAAAAAAGGAGCATTGTCTTAGAAAACAGACACAAAGCTGATGTATTATGTACTGTATTCTGATATGCTTCTTAAAGTGCTGTTTTTAATAAATATATATCTTGCTGTAGAGTTATGAATTGTTAAACACAGGAGCACAATATCGTATTTATTATGTTAAAGAGGCTCTGTGCATGCACCTTGACGCTCCATCTCTCCGGTTCAATTACTACCACATGAATAAATTGGGTTCAAATCTAAGCCTGTTATTCTTTTAGGCTTTTAGTTCTTTTTTTAGGGGAGGTGTTTGTCCAGATTGAGTGTGGGAGTTTTTTTCTGCACCTCCCTCTCTGCCATGCACTGACTGTCACCTTGCAGTTGTTCATTAACCAATATAAGACAGACCAACCAGTCCGTATCAAGGCGGTGGAGGACTGATCTTAGACTGCAGCTAAAGAAGTAAAAGGCATACAGGAGTAAACATTTAATCTCTGCAGTACTGATATTATTTTGTTCTTTAGTGTTAGCAGTGCGTACCTTAGAGAAAAGCTTGCTTTGTCCTTTCATTTTGATGTTGGATAGTAAAAGAAGAAGCGCTGTAACTTCTGCCTAGTTACACAGAAAGTTTCTCACTTCTGTCTTTGGATATATGCAGCCGGTGGAGAGGATCAGACACAACACGTGAAAAAAGGCCTGCTTCTTTCCTTTGATTTCTCTCAACCAACTTGTATCTGTTTGACATGTAGAAGCTGGAAGAAAGGAACATTTTCCAAGATCAATAATGTACTGCTTGGACTGTTTACTCTACCTGGGAGTGCTGGTACTGGTGGTGTCTGGCAACAAAATACTAGACGACTGTTTGTACTCAAATCATAAATACAAAATGAACGTAGTGCTGCTGGAGGACAACACCTACGAGTGGAGTCGGCCGTTTGTGCAGAGAGCCGTGGAGCAAGCTATAGAGAAGGACAGGCAGGAGAACATCAACAATGGTATGGACTGACGTCTCTCATAATATCCTGGTTATCAGTAACTTCTAAGATGGGCATGCAAGAAAGAATCCACCAAATTCTAAATAATATTCATTATTTATGCCGTAAGCACAGCATAGTCCTGTGAGATGAAGTAAAATTAATACACAAACTGCTTGATTGCAATCTGTAAATCACAATACTGTAAAAATCAAGATGGATGGTAATCAGTTTGGTGGTGAATGTATTTGCATTCAACTTAAATTCATCCTCCTTCAGCTTTTCAGATTTCCACAGGATTTGCGCCCAGTCGAAAAGCTATTTCCTTTTTTTAATTTTCCTAAATAAAATTGGTTAAGCAGAAATTAATTATTAAATTAGGTTATGTTGATAAAGAACATATAGATCTTGATTAGCAGATTAAAAACACACAATCTCAATAAAATAATGGCAAAATCCTTTAAAAATATGCATGGAAGGACATTTCATATAGTTTCAGTACATGTTTTTTTAAAAGTTATTTAACAATTCATTCAGGTCTTTTTCAGCGAATACAGAAATAATTAACAGAATTATATTTAGATCTATTGCAACAGGACTGTGTTTGCTACATGCAAGATGAAGGAATCAGGAAAATTTAAGAATTTAAAGTTTAAGTGGCAAAATAAACCTGCACCTTTTAGTATGTTTGTTTCTTGTAAACTAGAAATGATTTGTCATATCTTCTGATGTTGTTTTCAAATTAAATGCTCTATGTTTTATGTCGCCATAACTCACTTGGAACTCAGTATAGAAACCTGAAAAAGACTGCGGGGAACAACGTATTACTGATATGAATATTTAGTCGTCTAAGAGTAGATTTTAATCTGTTTTTTTTGTTGTAATTACTCTGGTTTGTCAAGATTGGAACCCTATTTTTGGATTTTTTGTTTTATTTTTTATCCCACATGTAAATCTACACTATTCTTTTTTTGTTTTGATATAAAAAAAACCCCAACAACATAGATTTCATAAATTAAACTTGAAAAATGTATTTGAGTGCCCCCTGTTCGAATCTAATCATCAGATTTATAACAAGTTCGAACACTACGACCAAAAGAGGAAGCGTTGTAGGGAAGAAAACACGTCATCACAAACAGGGGACTGTAGTTACTTTATTTATGTGTTTGTTCACAGATTAATTTTGGTCAGGGGCCTGAAGCGTTTCCCAGCATCCACTAGAGAAACACATCAACCCATGACTGCTTCATGTACACTGAATCAATAACTATTATTTATTGCAGACATCAGTATCTTTGGTGTTATCCTAGCAACTATAAAATACAGAACTCCTGCTATCATAGCTGATTTATTTTCAGATTAAATAATACTCATTATAGCAGCACCTGGCTTATAGATCAAAGGTGTTTGTGTTTTGTTATTTTTCTAATCTACAGAATGCAACATTTGTTATGGAAGTCTAATAAGGAAAAAAAGTTGTATAATGTACAGAATATATTTCATTTGAATATATTCTACTGTGTAAGGCTTGGGGTTAATTTATCAGGGGTGGTGGAATGACCAAAATTGGTAACTGTCCTTACTACTGGTGCAAAGTCTTTATCACCCTTTTAT